CTCGTCTCATATAATATACAGCGACTAATATGCACAGCCGGATCACTCGACTGAGAATCGACTGGGAATCGACGCCCACATTCACTCGACGTTTACGCATCCGTTTGACACTTGTTACCTCAGTGCTTCATCATTAGTGTTTGTCAATTAGCGAACGCAAAAAAAAGTTTCTCCTTGGACACCCCGAACGAGCGGCGGTCGAATCTCGTCGATTGATTAGAATGAATGGGCAATTTTGTCCTGTACAGTCAATGCATATTTTTTTGATATTTCTTCAATGTCCACCTTTTCAGATTTTTCATTCGTAATTGTTTGTTCGTATCAATAGTCAACGAACTAAAATGTCGATAGTGAATAATCAAGGAAACTTTTTAAACCGAGTCACACAACAAATTAAATATGTATAGGCTCTCGTGATATACAAAAAAATATGATCAATAAGTGCCAACGCAGGTTGTTGATACGAGAATTATTATTATATGGGAAGGTAAATATGTTTGACAGTGTCAAACGCACCTAGTACGTTTATAATAATAATTCTCACACCAACAAATGCGGCTCTTATTGGCCTAATTTCATATTTCCTTGAGTCACATACTTTAGTTTGCTCTTCATTTTAATTCTTTAGGAGAGTGATAAAAAATGTGTCGTGTTTCGATAATATATGATTCGTAATGGTTTTAAACAACAGATGTCTTCGATCTGTTTAACAGCTGTCAAACAGATGGTTCTAAATAAGATATTTATTAAAAGAAAATTGTATTCTGTATATTGAAAGAAAAAATATCTAACAAATAAAGAATATTTATTCAGTAGGTATTAACAACACATTTATATTAATATATACGAGGGCGGTCCGATAAGTACTTAGCCTCATCGCCCGATGGCGCCACTATCGCAAGAGAGATTTACTATCGTGTAGTACATTCTCGTAGACGGCTACTGTCAAAATTTCAGCCGAATCGGACTCGTAGTTTTGTTTTGACCGCGTGTGGAAGCATGGTGGAACTCTTCCACCATGACAACGCACCGGCTCACACCTCCGCCGTCGCCACGGCCAAATTGGTCGAATTGGACTACGAACTGCTGCCCCATCCACCGTATTCTCCAGATTTGGACCCGTGCGACTTTTTTTTGTTTCCAAACTTGAAAAAGTCACTCGCCGGGCAGAAATTTGAGTCGAATGAGGAGGTCATCGCCGCCACGGAGGCCTACTTTGCAGACTTCGAGAAAACGTATTTTTCAGATGGGTTAAAGAAGTTGAAGCATCGTTGGGTCAAGTGTATCGAGCTAAAAGGAGACTATGTTGAGAAATAAATCGCCACTTTTCCAAAATTTTCGTTTTTCTTTTGTAGGCTAAGTACTTATCGGACTGCCCTCGTATTTTTATGTGCGGGAGAAAAAGTTTGATTGAATTTAGACTAGACAGTGAACAAACCAAACGCGTTTTGATTGAAGGAAACAGAACATCTGGTTATAAGAGCCAAACTTGGGTCATAGTAACCAGAAATTATGTTTCCTTCAATCAAAACGCGTTTGTTGAGCGTCTAGTAAATTCAAGCAAATTTTTTTCTGTATATTAAAATACAGTAACTTAAATACTGTAAAATATATATCTTTTTAAATCTATAACTTTCCATGAAAATAATTGTTTGTTTTACATTTAAAATAAAGAAATTTAGATTTAAATAAATATATTATTAATAACAACCATGAATAAATATTTTTCATTCTTCAGATATTTTTTAAATGTTTATTCTTCCAGAGTGTAGGATTCGTAAAAAGTAAAATTTGTTGAAAATATGTTGATTTTCCGTAAGATTCGTTATACTCTCGTGACAAATCGCCCACTCGATTCTGAATGCAACAATCGTCCGAGAATATCCGAATGTACGATGGGATATTCAAAAATATACATCAAATACTCCGGTCGTGCGGGAGAAAAGAGAAGAAAGCGGGGCGCACACGCGAATAAATAAAATCGACGGCACTCAGTGCCGGGAGGGAAGAAAAACGATGAGGTCGGCGATGTCGCGGTGCCCTCAAGCGCGTTCTTCGCGCACGAAAAAGGAATCCTTCCCGGCACGTGTATAGAGACGCACTCGAATGCACTCGCGTGAATGCAATTTGTCCGACGCGAGACGCGACAAGACGAGACGCATCGTCATCGTTTCTTATTGGCACCGCGCTGAGGTTGCACTTCCATCTCGGGTGTCTTCGGCGAGGACGTCGACGGCGACGACTCCTGCGACATCAGCACCAGAGGCTGACCGAAGGGTCGCGTACCGGAAGTGGATCCACCGCTGCCGCGTCCTGATCAATCAAATTTCAAGGATACCGATAGTTTCTATTTTCTTTCTCTTCTAGCGGTTAATTGCATTTCTCTTTATCTCTTTCTCTCTCTCTCTCTCTCTTTCTCTCCCTCCCTCACTCTCCCATCCTCTCACTCTCGACTTTTTTCTCGTTCGTTCCCATTCTTTCCTCGGAAAGACTTGTGTCAGTTGGTTTCGCTTTCGAGGTTGTTTAGGTTGTTATACGCAAAAATCGTCAAGCTCTCTCACAAATTCTCGTTAATAATTGTCGTTAGGATAGCACAGGCCGGTCCAAATCCTGACGTTACCGTCCTCTCGGGGTTAGTCGGCGAGGTTCTCTTTTCGTTATTCGCTCCTTGTCGTCCATTTCGATCGTAATGATTTATTCGTGCGAAAATTCTCTCACTACGGTATATCGTAATTGCGTGTCGCAGTAGGCGACACATAGAGTGCACGAGAGCACTTGCGTGCGATTGTCAAAGAAGCAAAAAATGAAACGTTGCGAGAAAAGAGCAAAAGAAGAAATAAAGAATCTACAATACAATTAAACGACCAAATAACGAAAAAGAGGAGAAATATTCTAGAGATGCTATAACTATTATTATTATTATTATTAACTCTATGATTAATAATTATATTGCTATTATCACTATTGTCGTTATCGCCGATGACTGTGACTATTAATGTGTGTCGTTATGACAGCAGATGTCTGGAAGCTAATTAGGGCTGGAAACTCAAGGAAGGAAACTTAACAAGCCTTCGTGATAAGCGCGCGACAAAAGTCAAAAGGGCGAGAAGCGATAAAGAATTTCTCTCGTCAAGGAATGGCACCCACGACGACGACGACGAATCAGAGTCCGAAAAGTCGGCCCGTTCAACTTATATCAACGCGATCCCCCGAGGCTATTTCGGCCGAGTGGCGCTCGACGAGCGAGACTCCTTCAGAAAATTGAATACATTCGTAATGAAGACCGTGAAGCGAGCGTGGCGCCCATTGTTGCTTAATAATGACAGCGAGCTGTACGTCTGATAATCTCTGTAACGTTTACATCGCGATTTTACGTGCAAAACTGTTAATGATGCAGCTCGTTATATCTCGATAAGAACTAGGGTTAAAATGAAACGAGGCGAACGTAGATAAAGATAACCGAGAAATCGTCATCGTGAGCGATATATGATTGAACGGGCGACCATTCGTCGTCATGGGCGTGACAGTTGTGATGAACGCTTTACGCGACACTACAGATATAGCGATAACGATTCATCGATATAACGCAGTAACAGTATCGATTAATACCAACGATGATGTCAACGGTAGCGGCTTACTTCTAAGAATCGCTCGAGTCAATCTTAATGATAAGAGGTATGTGCGAAGAAGGCGGAGAAGAAGAAGAAGAAGTAGAGAAAGAAACAGCACAAGAGAAAAAGAAATAGGCGTAGAAGAAGAAGGAGAAGAAGAAGAAGAAAGAAGTATATCAAAGAACCGACAGAGAATTACGAGTCATGTCCCTGAAGAAGACGAGCGGCTTTACATAAAGACATAGATTGACTTTGCGGACCTTGGAACTGATAGTACTGGAGCAACTATAATAATAAAGACGTACACACATACAAACACGTGCTTATCAAAGGTGACACGTAAGAGCAGTTACGTAGCGGTAACTTAACTAATGAAGGAGAAGGTAGGAATACGGAATAAGTAGCGTGAAAATTCGAGACATTGCGAAATATCTCGGGATATCTTCCTTTCGGATACGTGATTTGTAAAAACGTCTTTAAGTTAATTAAATGCGTTGTTAATTAAATTCGTAAATGTAAAAAGACGAGTGCGATTAATCAAACGAGATCTATATTCTTACCTTCCTCCCTTTTGAATATAGTGAGTATATATAGTAACTACAATGATAATAACAGATATTTAAAAATTATTCACACTGCTTTTACAAAGAGTTTGCGAAAGAACACGAAAATAGTGTAGGGGAAACCGGGGCTAGTTATGTAAAGGGGTAAATTAACCGATTGATTATTTCTGTTGTTTTTTTTTAATAGGTTACAGAATCGAGCAAGTATAGATTTCATAATCATCTTTGACATGTTTGAAATCTCTGCTTGCTCGATTCTGCAATTTGTTAGAAAATAATCGATTAGCTGACTTACCCCCAACTAGCCTCGGCCTCCCTTACTCTTTGAGGATGGCCGATAACAAACATCGGTGTATCGGCAAAACAAACGAGAGAAACTATGATACACATGTTCGAGGAACATGTTTGCTCCAGTACTACGACGGCATGCCCCGATTATTTCGATGCGTTTCGCGTTTACGGTCGTGTTGACTGTCAAAGACGAGTTTCCGATATTACATTCCACGTCTACCCGCAATAGCGGATTGAAGCACATTTCCGGGTGTAAGGTATTTCTTTTAAGACGCTGCCAAAAATTCTAAATTAAAAATTATTGTCCACACTTTACGGTGCAGAATTTGACAAGAGAAATTTCGACGATATAATAAAAAAGAATCGACTATTTAATAAAACAATGTTCAAAGAGATTAAATTCTTTCATTTTGAGATCCTGTCGGAGAGATTTCGGAGTCTCAGAAGAGCCAGTGTCGCGTTACTGTTTAGAAGAATTTCGGGGCTTCCTATCGGTGAGTTCCAAGATCGACGGGAATTCGGCGGTGCGTCTTACCAGAAGTGGACGAGGAACAAGGATGGGAAGAGGCCCTCGCTGACGAAGGTGCTGCACCGGAGGAGGGATGTTCTGCTGTGGGAGGCGTAGGTGGTGAGTTTGTCGAGTTTCCACGGATCTCGCCAGCCTGCTTCAGCACCTGGTATATGGCGTCCACGTCTACCCACACGGGATAAAGAGACATGCAAATTGCGCACCGACAGTTTCGCATTCGGTGATTCCCGGCTCACGCGCTCGATCGCGCATCTGTCTTCTTCTTCTCTTTTTTTTTCTTTCTTTTTTTCAGTGTTAACAAATGATAAGAGAGACGGTACGTTGCGATCGCACCGCGCAACAGACGCAATTGAGGCGTGAGCGCAAACTTACCGTCACGTGCGTCAAAATCGCGGCGGATAAACAGGAAGCTCTCTGTTCCCGAATGTAATATCGAGTTTCATTCGATGCGATCTTAATTTAAAAAGCTTCCACTATTCGATATTGCTATAATATTTGATATTGAGTTCGCGGAAAAATGTCATCCAATTAAATATACGCGGGAGAGAGAAACGCTTCAAGATGTTCCTTCTCAGTCAGGAATAAGAAATATTGTTCTCTCTGTGCGAGCGCACTTCGTAAATTACGAACGAGCGCTCGTTCGCTGTCGCTTTCTCCACTCTTTACAAAAGTTACATAAAATATCGGCGAGTGAATGGAGTCGAATCGTGGAGGTTTTCCAACTGCAAAATTAAAAACTGACTCTCTCCCGGACGCGACGGAAGCAGTCGGTTCATTAATAATTCTCATTTTTCTATTTCTACCCTCTCTCTCTCTCTCTCTCTCTCCCCCGTTTGGACACACTCACTCGCCGTCGCCGTGCGATAAAATGCAACGGGGAAAAAATCTCGAAACAAATGCGTTGTGGCATTTGAACGTACCTCCCAATGAATTACCAACGATTTTTAACGATGCGTTGTGTGCATGAACCCGATGTTCTACTGCGGAAAGAACAATAAAAAAGAGAAAAAACACAAAGAGAAAGAAGCGATGAGAAACTCAAACAATGGGAGAAAAGAGGAGGAATACCCGATCGGCAAGACAACGGCGTTAAAAAGCGTCCTCGACAATGAGAGAGAGAGCGTGTCGCGTGTCGCTGGCGGTAGCGTTGGCGATGGCGTTGGTGGATGGGCGGCGGGGAAGAAAGAGAAGCACGGCGAGTTCATCGTGGGAGCTTGTTACTCACTGTGCTCGGACGCCGACGGCACCTCGTCGGCTACCTGGGTCTTTTGCCGCCTCAGCAATGGTATACCGCCGCCTTTCTTCGGCGCCAGGCTCGGACAGAGCGCTGGCTGCACCATGTTCGTGCAGTCCGTATGCGCGTTGGCCTTGCAGCCGCGACATCGGACACCCTGACGGCTGTGACCGCGCAGTACCTGGCCGCACGCGTCGCACGGTGTGATCTTGCGGTAGGTGTATTCGCGCCAGGTGTGCCCGCCCTCGGACTCCAGGCTCTTCCTGCAAAAATCGATCGCAGTCGTTGAAACGCCGGGCTCCTCGGATCGTCTCTGTCGGAAGCTCACATAGCGTTCTCTCTTTTTCTCTTAGCTTTATTTTCTCTTTTGCGAAAAAAACGCGCCAAAAAGTTTGTTATTCTTTATTATCGCTTGTTACGCGCGCGGAGGGAGCCTTTGCCGAGTGTATTAAAGAGTATATAGCTGCGGAATAACGAATTGTGAATTGCGCTCGATACACAGGTGAATTGCGTGTTAAGCTTGCGCGAGAGCTTACACGAGCTATCGCAATTTTCTACTCTCTTCCCCCCCCCCCCCCCNNNNCTCTCTTCCCCCCCCCCTCCCTCTCTCCCTCACTCATTCTCTCTCTCTCTCATATCCCGAAATTTTGTGCTTCTGTCGCAATACATCGGATGAAATAAAAAAAGAGATATATTTTCACGGTGTATTATTTTAATTTTTGAGAGAGGGATAATCCAACAGGAGAGGAAAACGCTGCTATTCAGCGAGCTTTTATTCGTTATATTAGTGCAAAATGAAAACACGATGTATTCATGCATGGGAACTTTATAGCGCGCAATATTTTTCCCGGTTGGCGAAATTTTATACCGAAAAGAACGTGGTGCGCGCTTCTCTGCGTATAATATACGAAAAGCCGTGGTGTTATGTATCCCGAGTTTGACTTTATTCTAACTTCAGCCGCGTGAGTAATACGGCGTCAAAGCGAAACGTCACACGCGGAGCTTGCGAGGATCTCGATGCTGCGCGGATTTTCATTTAATTAGCTCGTGTTTTAGTGAAATGAACTCTCATTTCCGTAAAATAAGGCAATTAGGACGAACACATGACACGTACTGCACGGAACGAATGAAATGGAAAACCAATTAACTCTCTGTTTAACACTTAAAGCTAAACGCAATACGTACATCTCTTTCAAAAAAGAGAGGAAAAAAGAGACGCGTGATTTTGCGATACTGAATTATTAGATATTAAACGACTTGCGTGCGCGATGCGACGGCATCTCTCTCGCTTTCACAGCACTTTAAGTGGTATTTATCCGCTTCTCCAACGCACACGCAAACATGTTATTACAGGCGGAATCGCACGGTTGTATCAGCAATGAGTATATTCGTGTGAAGGAAAGACTTACCTGGACATCGCGACGACGGTGGAAACTGCGTGGTATATGGTCGCCTGCTTTCCTCTTTATTAGTCGAGCATTCGCAAAACAGTATCTACGGTTATTCAAAGTCCCTTTTGTCTAACGTCTATGCTTCCCCTAATTGGGAAACTTACAGTGCGCGCCGAACGCGGTTCAGCTCTACGAGAGCATCGCGCGAAAGTCCCTCGTCTCGAAAATTGACTTCGCGACAACGTCGATTCTATCGGGGCGAGAAAAATTCCGTTTGCACTGTTTCACTATGGATAGGGTAGTAAGCTTAAAAAAGTGGCCAGAATTTAATTCAAAGAATAACATGGAAGAGTATTTTATCGTAATATGCAGCTTTTCTTGCAGCTTTTTTCAAAATTTCATGATAATTATATTATTACCGTCCACGTAGCAGCCATTTGAACTTTTAAAATATAGTTTTTATACAATTAATTTTATTTGAGAAGAAAATCGTTAATTTTATTATATATTCAGGATAAAATATCTGTTAATCTTTTGTTATTAAGATACAAACTACTTAAAAAAATTATATTAGAACTTTGGCAATAAATCGATATTCAAGTAGCATTTTATTATCTATATTATCTCGGAATATAGTTTTAAAACTATGAAAGCTCTGTCGAAATCTAATAATTGGCGATAATCGCTTTACCACTGAAAGTAAGGCATCACTAGATGCGCATTTGCAAATATATTAAGAAAATCATGCCCATTTTTATATACTTCACAAAAAAGATTTACAAATCAACACAATAGTGTTCATTTTAAATAAATACAAAATAAATACGATTATATTTTTATATCTTGGTCTGCCTAATATTGATTCCGCCATTTTTAATTTTGCAATTCTGATCTTGGATTTGTGTTTCAGCAACCCTAAAAACCTATAAAAACAAATCAATATTAAAATATGACAACTTTTTGCATTTTGCTCCGCTATATTGAATCTGTTATTTTAAACTTTGTGTATCTGACTTCGGATTTATGATTATCGATCCAAAAAATTACTAAATACAGCTTTTGGTAACAATCTAATTAAACTTAGAATTATGGCCATTTTTCCGACCTCGTAGCCTATTGTGCATTTGTGTGTATCCGTCAATGCGCGACGTCTTTCTCGCGCGCTGTAAAATTTGTGAAACGCAAACGGGAATCTTTCTCGCGCGCGTGCGCGCGAAAGCTTTTGCGCTTAATCAGATTACACAATGACGTTAGGTAACAACGCTACGACGACTACGGCTGTCTTCCTATTCTTTAGTCCTGCTAATTCTGAACGTTCTAAAACACTCTGCGACAGATTTCTAAATTCTCTATTGAAGTAATAACGAGAGAAAAACTTGGGTATAATCTCAAATCGACCACTTGTCTACGCTCTCATCGGCGAAGCGACATCTAACTCTTTCGAGGAACGTTCGATGTGACGTCCGTTCATGCAAAACGTCACGTAGGATCCGCAAAACAATCTCTCTTTTCTCTTATTTCCTTTGAATCTTGAGGAGAAACAAATTCGTGACACGCTCGCATTTCACGCTCGTAAATATTTGGAGAGAAGATTTCGGTCTTTGATAAAGGTTGCTTTGTTTACATCGCGCTTTATCTCGCTCATTTCGGTTTGCGAATCCCACGAGTGTACATACACGTCGCGCTATCGTCTATTCTTCAGTAAAATTCCTATAATAAGAGTTGTGACAAATCGCTACCGTTTCTAGGCGCCCCCTTATAGACGCAACAATGTTACCAACACTTAAAATTTAGAATTGAATCCATTGCGCTTTCTTTCACTATAACACTAACAACTCTGTCAAATTAACCCACACAGCAGAAATATCCCAAATGTATCTTAAAGATATCGCGACGTCTGTAGGATATTTCTATGATGTTTTTTGGGCATTTCTGTTGTGTGGGAGATGTATGTGTGTGTATCGAAAGAAAAATTAGCAATGAGACAAGGATAGTTATGATTAACACACACAAATACTTTTTTAATGAAAAAGTATATTAAATTGTAGGAAATATTACAATCTCGGCACAAACATACAACACGCTATCGATATATATGTCGACATATGTAGAGGAAAAGTTAGTAGTATAGCCTCTCACTTACATTTTGTACAATATTGTTAATAATCAGTATTTTAAATTGAAAACTTAATAATTACACTCGGCAAAGTGTTGTTCAATCGAGTTTTAAAGTTATGAAACATTTATTACGTAGGATGTTATAAAAATATGGCGACATTACATAATCGAAGAGAAACAGGAGTAATAATGGTCCCACACAAAAATAGACTTTAAAAACTAACTTTGCATAATTCGAAATATGTATAGCGAAATAAAATGTTAAATAAAGGATAAAATATTTAAGTATATATATACTTGTGTGATAATACGCCCAAGTTTAAGAAGAATGAGAAAGTATGCGTAATTAAATGCTAAAATATATCTTGAAAACGCTTCGAAATACTTGAAAATAAAAACACGTTATAATAAATATCAGTTAACTTGTATATTTTTAATATTACCGCCACCATGTAACGACGGGTTACTAAGTAATTCATTTCATAAGTACCCGAGTCGAAATTTTAAATTCTACGTTAAGTCTTCAAGTGGAGGAAATGGAAATAATTTCCCACTTGTAACATCAAAGAAACATAAGCGCTCTTTTAATGCTACACAGGGACATTAGTTCTCTAGAAATCTAAATTTTAGTTCTACATCAAGTCTTCAAGTGAAGAAAACGGCAATAACTTTTCTGTTTGTAGCCCCAAAGGAATCCACTAGATGGCTTTCGAATATTTAATGTAAAACTAAATTAGAACTAAGATAGATTTAAACTAGGACTAAAATTTCGACCAGGGTAATTATTTGAATTCAGCATTTAATAGCGGAGATATTAAAGGGAAGCATAATACCTGCAAGGACCATCTTCTCCTCTATGTATCAACAAAATATAATAACTCTCTATAGTTACGCCGATCCGTCATATATAATAGCTCAACCAATCAGTAATAATAATCGTCACTTTTATGTAACTCTTATTACAGGAAGTCTACTTTTCAGAGACACGGTACAAAGTGCAGATAAAGAAAAAATACAGAAATAAGGTTGACACCCGTGTGCTCGGGCAATGAAGTAATCCTTTTTTCGTCTTTCGGAACGAGCGTTCAAGTAACACGGAGCGGACGTGGTTTTTTTTCCGGTGTCGCCCGGTAGAAAATCATCTCCGTCGCGTCGGAAACTTTGCCGGCGTTTTCGCGGCATGCACGTGGAGATTGACGATAGTTGGAAAGGAAATAAGTGGCTCACTTGTCGGATAGCGGCGGCGTGGTGGGTGAGCTGGTCTTCAAGCTCTTGAACGCTTTCAGCCATTTGAGCTTGGGACTTCCGGTCGAGCCGTTTGACATCTTCCGACTGGCCATACCGTCCGGCTGACCAGCCTCTCCACCGCCGAACAGCTCCTTCTGCAATTCGTAAAGCACAAGCGACCCATATGACGCGTCTTGATGATTAATTCGGTATTAATTATTCTAATATGTGTGCTTGATAATTGTTTAATATGTAAAATTCTCTTCGACGTTGCCACGGTTGCCGGGTAAACGAAGGTCGGTTCATTTCGCTGTCGATATAACGAAATCTGAGAAAGAATCTCGAGTAATTGAGTTTTCAGAAGATGGAGGCATGACATTGAAGTTTTAGTGGCGCAAATATTGACGGAACTTTGACCCTGGTTTAATTTCAATTAGATATTGCTTTAAAATTTCAATAAGAAGCTCAGCTGTTAGCTGCTTCAATATTTAATGCCGAAAGAGATTGCAGAAAAACGGCATCCCACGATATTACCAACGATGAGGAAGCATCGGTCGGCAAATCTGTGTGTGAATGCAAACGTGATCTAGGGCACTCTCTGTGCAAGTTTATGCAAATTGAAAGGAAGAAGAGTCCATTATCGTCGACCTATAAAGGAAACGCGGCTTCGTTGTATACCAATTTGCGTGTTTACATGCCGCTATGAATGACTAAGGAGCGAGTCTCACTATATAGTCACATGGCACCAACGGGTTTAGTCTATAATCACGTGTTATTACCAGCCGACTCGCTTTCTGTTATTATCCGCGTATGTCGGCCGTCTGAATAAGAAAAATTTCCGCGCGCGTTCACGAGGACCGCATCACGTGGCTCTTGTTCGCGCGCGCGAGTCTGCTCGCGAGTTTCGCGCAGTGACGCGAAACGCCTCCCTCAGCGGCTCCCTCGACGAACGAATGAAAATGGTCACTCCCTATCGGTCGCCTCTAAAAAATGCAGCAGATAAATTACGAGCTCGATTTTTCGCTCGATCGAAGCGGTATCGCTCGCGTTTTCACCACGAGGAGGATATTTATTCACGACTCGAAGGAAAGATTGAAGGGACTCCCCTTTTGCGTTTTGTCGCGCGACACGCACGTAGTGATACGCGTCATCCCGAAAAAGAAAAAAAGAGAAGGAAACGGACGCGTCGATACATCCACCCTGGTTGAAGCGTTTTCCACCGGAAACATACGGAGGCACACAATCGTGCGGTCGGTCCATTTTCCGTGCCGCATGGGCGTACATGTCAACTTTCATTGATCCCTGTAACCATTGACGAACATACCCAGCCATTGTTCGCGATCGCAACGTTGCTCGCGCGCCTTTGTGCGCCGACAACGAATAACTACTTTGCGTCCGATAAATATCGCGCGCATATTAAAAATACCAGACGAAAACTTTGCCTCAGCGTGTATCAATTTGCGACACGAATCAAATCACACGAACTCGGCGGAATGACGGCTTTGAGATTTGCAACGGAGACGCGAACAGAGATTGTCCGAAACTTCGTTCACGATCGTGTCTCGGTGCACGCTCGTCGTAGCACTATATCGGGCACTACTTTTCAACCAGGGTGCTCGGCGACCTCAGCTCGTGAGCAGCAACCGCAAGGATGACCATTTGACGTGGAAGATGCGACAGAAAAATACTAACGACCCGCGTACGCAATGTAGTCCAACCCATCGTTGAGGCGCGACGAGGAGTATCGACGAGTAGTAGTAAACGACAGCGCGCGGCCGAGACCGATCCTGCTCGCCTGACCTGGATAGACGGACTCGGCGAGGCCAGGAATGGATTTTCAGACGCTCGCTCGTGCTCGCCGATGACCCAGTTGCGAGCGCGCATGTCGCGCGATTGCGCGCACAGTATTTATCCGGCGTTTAGGCTAAAGTTCTCCGATGAATGACCAATCGCGCCAGTGAATGACCACTTGCACTTCGCTTTGCGAACTTTCGGTAGACGAGACTCTCTCTCTCTCTCTCTCTCTCTCCTTGTGTTTGCGAACGTCAGATCCCTCAGGAAATTACGCCGCCGAAATTTACCTGACGAGCAAACCGCGTCGGCAAACATTTACAACGGCCTTCCCTCCCGCACGCTCGACGATACCCTCGTTTGTACACGTTGTATTTCAATTTCGGTTCATTTTCCTGCGGACGTTATTGAGTTGCCGAGTCTAGAGGGTGACAATAGAGCCGAATTGCAGTGCAAGAAAACAAAGAAAACGTTGGATTTTCGTGAAAGATCAACCTGCTCCAAAAACGTGACTATGTTTTACACGAGGAATAAATGAAATATAAAATAGCACAAAGAATTTATATTCTATTATTATATGTTTCTATTATGTTCTGATAACATAGAATTTTTCAGAGATATATTAGTAGTTCTTCGGATGAGATCAATTTCGTTTCGCGGCATGAATATAAAAGCGAGTTAATCAAATTATTACTTATTAAACGAGAAAGCAATATTTTCTTTGAAAGAAAAATACAAAATTACACAATTAGCTGCATATGCTTGCATTACATGCAAAGAAACAATAAAATTACAATAATAACTGAATCAAAAGTATACAAAAAAAATTGCAAGAATATCAAAATAAAGATCTAATAAGACAGAGTTATGAGATATATTAAAGAAATAGATGTTAATCGAATATCGCATCGGCCAATATACTCAAGCGATTGATTGCGTTGAATTTTGCATGTAATGTAAGATATCAGGAGATTGTATTCTTCAAATTTCTTGGAATGAAAGCTCATTCGAAACGAGTGAGTATTTACTCCAAACAATAGTGAAAATATTGCCACTCAAAATGCAGTGACATTTCACTTTTCACACAAAAGTGAATGTTCCACTTTAACCGTAGAGTGAGTGTTTCATTCGATTGGAGCGAACGTTTTATTTTAAAAAGAGCGAATTCTTTTAATTTATATTCTTTAACGTATAAATATATTATTTCTGATTGCGTTATTCTTAATATATTATTAATAATTTTCTCTAAAAATCTCCTCAATTATATACTATTTGGTTAATTCCATTTATATTATATTTAAAAAATTTATATGTTTACACCACTGGCTAGATTTGAACTCTAAACTTCGGAATCTTGAGTCTGCTGTATCTCGCATCACGCCATCTTGTCCTGATTGATAAGTAAATTTCACATTGCCTATAATCACGAGTTACAGTTACAGTAAAGTTCGATCATCTTGTTGCTTATAATATACGTTATTACATTAAGTTAGGTTAAATTTCACACGAAATGAAAATATTCAATCCACCATACGGAATGAAATAATTCACTTTATAAGAGTGAAAAGTCACTCTAATTCGAGTGATCCGATAATTACTTAATTTTTCGAGTGGAACTTCACGACAGAGACTGAAATTATTCACTCCGCGTCATAGGGTAAAAGAATTTACTCCATAAGAATGAAAATTCATTCCAATTCGAGTTACTTGGCTTCCGTCACTCCATTTGTAGAGTGGAGATTTCACTGCAAGAAATTTAGAGAGTAAATGACAGACATCTCTTTAAATTTCTATTCGGAACGTTTAACTGACAAGCTTCGATAAATCAGGGCAGTCCATGCATCCGACCAAGAAATTTTGCAGAAATATAAGATCAGCGATAACCCTCCTATTAGCTAAAGATAGAATATCGATATCTCGTTGGATCTGCTGGTAATCATGGCAGCAGATCGACATAGGCTGTCCAAATGTGATAACTTATACGACGAAAGAATCGATGTTGAACACGTTCGATCAGAATGCATCGATCAATCTAATATGGAGACCAGATAACATCGCCATATTCTAATGCCGGTATTTATAGTCAGGCTTGATATTTAAGGACTTTTTAAATTCATCTTCAGGTGTTTCGTAACCAATGAAATAAGTCATATAGTATTTGAAAATTAATTAAGGAGGCCTTAAATATAAAATTCGGCTATGAATATTGGCAGAAGTGAAGTCGAACTAATGATTAATATAATAATTGTTAAATATTACGAAAAAAATTACAGAAAAGAAAATCAAGCATTTTATAGACTTTGGCTATAGTTATCCAAATATGAATATCAAAAGACAAATTAAAGCTGGACCATTCTAAGATCAAATAAAGTTTTTTGCGCAGTTTAATTTCGTAAACCAAGTTTTGTGCGTTTTTAATTATTTTCTTACTCGTAGGCAGCGTTTTACACAATATAATTAAACATGCAGATAATTACATCGCACTTCACTATCACCGACTTTCGCTTGTTGCTTAATTAATTAGCACAACAATTTACTATGCCTGTAAGATCCGATAAATTGATATGCTTTACGCTTGAAATTAACAACGTTCGAGTGATTGAGCACGAAGTCACTCGTTGATGTATCTACTTTGTATATTGTGAAACGCGCAGCTCGGAGCCACGTGCGATTGAACAAATTGGATGAAATGGACGGATGGAATGTACGGTACAGATACCTGATCAATTTCAGGTCGTGAGCACAGAGAGGTTAAATATAGAATGTCTATGCTAAAATGTAAGTCGAGTTTTTCACTTCGTGTAATATATGCTATATTTCGCGCGATGTTGCATGCTATTCTGGTCGCTGCATTGCATACGTGAGTTTCGCGGAAGAACCTATTTGAGAGTACGTGTATTTCACTCTTTCTCTCTCTTCTTTCTCATTTAGTTTCGTGCAGTGACATAATAAATAAAAAGGAGAGAAAAAACAAGAGAGAGAAGAGTGTGTCTGTTCTGCATGCACGTTTTGTAATGGACAGGTCGCGTAAACGTACCAATACATTGCTTTTGTATCAGACACGAACGGGGAGTAACAAATGTGCGGGTTGTGGGATTGGAAACTGGTGAAATAATAAACGCGTGGACGAAAAATCGCACGTACCTGTGCCTGCACCGCAGCCAAACGCAGTTGTGCCACTCCGAGGTCGAAGCGCTTCAGTGAAATATCTTCCTGCAACTCGGCTACCTTTGTGTACAGGTTACTCTCGGCGCTTCTGCAAGTAGCGATGAAATGGTCATCAACGCGTCTCGTTTTAAAGGAATAGAGCACCGAATCATTAGCCGATTGGTGCGACTAATGAAATAACAAAGCGGCGAATTCGAAGAACTCGATAAACTGATAATCCTTTGGAAAACAATAAACGTGTATTCGTGAATGTAGAAAAAACGATATTTATTCTCTTCGTGATAAAATGAAGCTCCGACGTATTTTCGAAGCATTTTTTCAAATTTCTTTTACATATATCAAATGTAATTTATTATAAATTTAATTGAAAGATTTGCGAAATAAAATGATACGTAAATGAAATATTCGCGCAAACGAGATTTGTTTTCCACGTGCAGTGTAGAACAATGTTCGTTAAAAAAGGATTATTTCGGTTATTATCAGTTTAATGCAAATAATACGAATAACGTTCGATAACACACGACAGTAATCTGAGACTGATATTTCTTAGCTAAAAGTAATTTTTCAAGTTTTACTTTAATTTGATATAAACGCAGTTATAGGATGTTCTATTATCAAATAATCATAAATTGTTATCATTTATTATTCTCTTATTGCTTATTGGCACATAATATTAAAAATATTGTTTAGTGAAAGGTAATTTTTACTCATATCTGTCACAATATCAAAATTGTGCTATATATTATATTACTTTAAAAATGATGTTAGCAACTTTATATACATTTAATACGTTAAAATAACATATTACGAAGCAAGTATTTTTAAATTATGTTGCGTTCTTATTTCTGAAGCGAGACAATAATTAGATTTGTGGTTGAAATAACGCATCTTTTAGATGGAAAAACGTTTTTTTACGGTTTTCAAGAATTTCGGAAAGTTCCTGAAAAAATATTACAATTGTGTAATAATCGTCAACATTTATACTATTAAAATTTATTATGTTCATTTTGCGCCTTTCTATATGTTTTGAAAATAATTGACCTTTTTTAAATCTGTATGACGTGTTCTATCAGACACTGCACGAGACTTGAAGAGAATAAAAAAATAGAAATATTCGACTAAATGATATAAATTCCTTTCAAAGATATCGTAAGAAAAAAAATGATGCACCTTTTAAAAGAAGCTATTCAGAAAATGAAGTTATTTTGTATTTATCTAAAAAAAGGTAAGATAAATGTTGAATCATTTATAGTTAATTTTTCTTTTAAAGACATTTTTTGCATATAAAAATCGTTTTTATCAAGATTCAGAGTTTTGACCCAAAATTTTTATGTTCAGACCATTGTGTAATGGTGAGAAACAACGAGGACGACCCGAGTCGAAATTTAAATCCTACATTAAATCCATTTACAGAGGAACGGAAATAACTTTCCATTTGTAGCATTAAAGCAGCATTAACTCTTTGAGTACTGAATTATTTGAAGATTTTTATGCCCATGGGACGGATTTAATTTGTCGCTATATGGATTAATATGTAAAAGTAATACATTTTATACCCAAGTAAACAGATGACGAGTCTCACTCGTCAAATGTACCCAAAGGGTTAATAGTGCTCCTTTGATGTTAAAAAAGGAATTTAGACCTCCCGAGAGGAAATTTTAAATTCTACATTAAACCTTTAAGCGAAAAAAAGAGAAATAACTTCGCATTTATATCCGAGTCGAAATTTTAGTCCTACTTTAAGTCTAATTTAGTTCTACATTAAGTGTTCAAAGACCTTCTATTGTGCTTCTTTGATGCTATAAATATGGTTATTGTCGTTTTCTCTATTTGAAAATCTGATGTAGAAATTCTTTTTATAGTATTAAAGGAGCACTTATTGTGCTTATTTTCGTATTTTCCACTTCAAGACTTAATGTAGAGCTTAAGATTTCGACTCGGATAGCATCAAAGAGAGTACAATAGAAGACATTTGAAGATTAAATATAGAACTAAGTAGACTTAATGTAGAACTGAAATTTCGATTCGGAGGGACGCGTTATAAAATACAAGCACGTACTTGCGCTGCATTCGCACCAGGGCGTCGAGAGCGTCTTGCAGGCGACCTATTTCCTGGGTGAGGCTGTCGTACTCGTGTCGTAGATCCTCCATGAGTGGGAGCGTGCTGGTGCCGGTTGGTACCAGTTCGTCCCTGAGCATGGGTACCTGACTGATTCTCTCCATCGGCACTTGTTCGGGTGGTGCCGGCGCGACGTACAAGCGCCGCGGCGGCTTCCGTGGTGTCGTGTTCGCAGATAGGTTTCGCGCTAAGACCTTTAATAACACCACATTGCCCTTTGATTCTGATACGTCCTATTGCGCACATATAAATCACAGGTATGGGCGATTAAACAAAAATACGAAGGCGCGAAAATCGAGCAAATTTTATCATCGCGGAGATCGATCGAACGGGATAAATAAAAATACGTGTGGCAATATAAATTGACACCGACAAATACGAGATATTTCGAGTGCAGGAAACACGCTTGTATTTTTTCACAGATCATGTATTGAGTATCTAGAATTACAAGTTTTAGCGAGACAATATCACGAGCGCACGTGCGACGCAACTTCGGGGATTGAGAAAAAATGTGTCGCACGATTCGTATTACCTGCGAAATCGCCGTCGTTCTTGTACGAATAATCCCAGATAGCACAGGAATATTCTACGAATGTTCTATAAATATTTGTTACGAATATACAGTATACAGTATCAATATATGCGTTACGAATATCTGCATAAATGTATATTTATAAAATATTCTAAACACTCTTATATGTTCATAGTATGTTCTTAGTATATTCAAATAATCTATTATAAATGTTCAATGTATAGAATATTTCATTGAATGCTGCAAATATGTGAGGAACTCCTGAGACTAAAAGACACACGAAAACAGTCTCACGCGTGCATGCGCAGATCTCAGGTTCCAATTAACTAAATATGTCATAATGTATACCCAATAAACAAAAGATCATTAACACAACGTTATTTACAATTATATTTTATAACGTGTAACATTTTCACATATGTAGTTCTGAATGTTGTATATATCCTAGTAGCACAATTCATTGGTGACACATTGATCCAATTGACATTCATTGGGAGTATATTGAATAAGTATTGCCCAATATAGAATCAAACAACTAAACCTGTAAAAGCAGCTTTTGCAGATCATAGTATCTACTATAAATTTTTTCGACAGCTTGCTGATAGAAATATAACAGGATTTGCTAGCAGAGCTTGATAATAGATTAATCTGTTATCATGTTAGCAAGCTATCAACAAAATTTATAGCAGGTACTGTGCAAAATCTGCTTCTGCAGGTTTGACTTTATAGTGGAAAACATTCGTTTAATACGCCCCAATAAATGTCAATATAACCAATATTAGATCAATGTATCGTCGATGAATTGTACTACTAGGGCAACATCATTGTTAACAATATTTGACTTGAACATTAGAAATAATATTTCTACAATATGATTTAAAAATTTAGGAATATTATATCATCAAGTAACAGTTTGAGAAAATGTATAAAATATTATGTCAAAATGTTTAGAAGAGATCCACATGATAAAATCAATCTTTCAAAAGATTGATTTAATGTTTCTTACTGACAAGGGAACAGTCGAAACAGTATCTCATCGATTTTGATGGGCCTTGAATATGTGTAGAGCATCAGAGTATATATATATATATATATATGTATAATGTATATATGTATAATACTCTATATATGTATGTATATTCAGAGAATATTCGATTCGAATATTTTGGAATTAAGAGCATACGTATATTTCACAAAAATATTTATAGAATATTTTGTGCTATCTGAGATCGAGCGCATTTCTCAGAACGTGGAAGTGTAGTGCAGCTCGGTGCGAACGGGATATCGGTGTCTCTGACAAATTCGAAAAGGCCGAATCAGTGAATACGAGCGCGCTTGGTCAGCCGGACGAGTTAACCGGCCAGGCGAGAGCACTCTCGAGAAGACCAATATCCCCGACGCGTGCCTCCCGCATGGTGTATGGCCGACTTTAATCAGACCGCCTGTTTTCACCGTCCCTCTTCCGAATAGCGGCGATTGTAATCCGCCAGCAGATACCTCGTTGCCGAAATTGGATATACGCCCGGAATGTCTATTTGCTATGCGTGATCAATATGTCCGGTGTACGAATAGCCATATCGTCGCTCGCCTGACGTCGCCGAATCTATGCGCGATCGATCGCTCTCGATTGTCATATCGAGCGTGAGATTGACGTGGATGCATCGTCGTAGCCGTCGGTCACGGTACATGCTGGGAAATTTGACCGCGCGGAAGACACCGGCACGGACGTGATCGCGCCTTTTTGTTCCGTCACGACGATCCGTTTGGAAACTCGACGACGGATATCGCAAATATCAACGAATTCTTCGCTCCTCTCTCTTCGTTGCTCTTTGTATGTGAGATGAATGTCGCGATATCGTATTTCGAAGCCGTGTCGCACTTCGATAGCACGTTGTGGGAATATTCTCGTATTCGGATTTTTCAATCCTTGTAAGAAAGAGAACAGAAAAATAGGTCATGACCCAAATATATGAATATGCATTCTAGTGGATTAAAACAAAGGAAAAACACAAAAAACATATGGAACAATTATACAGCATATTTTAAATTTTCGAAAAAAGACCATTTTTTCACGAATTTTTTCGGTTTCAATCCTAAGGATATAAAAATTCATTTAGAAAAATGCACGGTGTTCTGTTAAAACGTGCTACATTTATTCTTTTCCGTAAAAAGATATAAAAAACAAAAATCTGCGGAAAAATTATTTTTTTCAGAATTTTAAGATTATGAATAAGCAGGAATATACATTTTAAATACTATAATAACATAATAAATAAAAGTCTTGCTGGAGTCATTTAGAAAAATTTATGTGTGTTCTGTTAAAACATGCCACATTTATTCTTTTCCGTAAAAAGATATAAAAAACAAAAATCTGCGGAAAAATGAGGGAAAATGGTTTTTTTCCAGAATTTTAAGATTATAAATAAGCAGGAATATACTTTTTTAAATAATATAATAAATAAAAGTCTTGCTGGAGTCATGAATGATTCCTACCTTCCTTTGCGAGGATTAATTAACCTCCGGGATACATCATTTGAGTACTAGAGACTGTACGATAATTTTGAGATACTCACTGCACAAAAAAATACTAACGAATACACTCAAATCTACGTGTGTGTCATATGAAGATCGGGCGGCCTCGCGCGGTCACGGCTCGCCAAACTCGCCAACAGTTTCTGACGTGGGCGAGTCAGTGCGTATCTATCGTACGACGTTTTCCGTGATTTTTTAATTCGTTCGCGCGATCGAAATCAGTGTAACTGACAAAAATTATTCGCGTCACGATTATCGAACTGTCGTCATCGTGAACAATAAAAGCACATCATATAATTCAATAAGGTGACTACTGTAATTTATTTATCTGAAAATGAAAAAAATGACAATCGGAACTATCGTATTCTTAATTCACTCAATCGCATAACCTTACTACCGTTGTAACCGATTAGGGAACCTATCGTGTGTTACAGTTTTGACGGAGTTTGTGACAACATACGATGATATACGTTGTCCCGAAGGGTGCTGGATTTCGTGGACTTCGATAGCGTATTGGAGGAACCGAGTCGGCTTGAAAATAGGTTAGATGAAGTTTACAAACCTATACTCCTTGCGATCGCAAACCGAAATGTCGTCGGAGTAAATATTGTCGAATTACAATGGCAAAGGGCTAACGTAAGCGGACTGACGAGCATTCTTTTGTTGAGATTCTAAATCTAATCAACAAAGTTATATTTCTTGTGTTCCGATCTGTAGCAGAACGCGGCCGACTCTGAGTTCACGGTGTCTGGTACATCATAGAAACGGGTACAGAAACTATAAGGTGTTGGGAATAAAGAATTAAGATGACGGTTTTATAGAATCTCGAGAAGATCAATACGATTTATTTTGTAGTTCTGAAGATGTGTTCATGTGCCGTTTAAACTGTTGTTGCACGAAATAACTGAGGGATCGTTTACTTAAATGCTCATATTATCTGATAAAGTATGAAATACCTCTTTTGCTTAAATATATCCGCTGTTAATCCCCGGTAAGCACATTTACATAAATGTTATAGCTCTAGTTACATTTGATTTAAACTACAGAATTATTCAAGAGCATTATTAATTCAGTGTAATCTCTTAATTGTTTCGAGCAATTTATAATGCGCATCAGAATTGCGCGTGGAACTCGTGAGAACTTTGATTGTGAATTTTAATTTCATTGTTTTCATTACCGACTTTTATACACGATTCATGCCGTGACTATTGAAATGACATTACAATCTGAATAAATTTAATGAAATTACTAGTAAATTCAAAACGTATATTCATCTGTTCTCGAAATTAGAATTCTTATAAAACGAGCAACATATTTTTCAAAAAGCGTAATCGTCCGCGAGATGTATTTTTACTTTCTTTCTTTCTCTCAATTTTATCGCAAACGTCATATTCGGTTCGGTTCACTTTTTACACGCTTTTCGAGATACGCAAATATAATCTGCTCAATAAGAACGTGACCGGGTAAACTTTTGTTTGAAAACCGTTACATCGAAAACTTTTGAACGAGGAAATAGAAAAACTCTTTTTTTAAGACGCGTTGTATAGAGGATCCCAGTTATTGTCTGATTTTCGTGAAAGAATACTGGTATCGATATTTTTCTTATCACAGTCATCACTTAATTTTTCGTTAAATCGTTAAATGTCGTTAAAACTATCAAGTACGGTCGTGAGTGCAAAGTGGGTAAAAAGTGACCGGCGGGAAACCATGACTGGATTATCCGAGTCTGGACTACTGGACGGATGCAGTTTGGGACATAACGGAAGATTTCACCTGGCTGGACGTCGTTGAACTTCAACAGGAAGTAGTGAGTATATAATTTTAACGTTCAAAAAGCGTAATATTACATAATGCGTGCGTAACATGTAAATCGCATTGATTTCTGACAAGAAATGTAGTAAAAATGAAAGCATTTCAATGGCATATTATAAATCTTCATTTTCCGATAAATTTTTGCTTATAATTCGGAAACTATAGTAAAAATCTCGACAATTTTGTATGTAATTATCGGCTTTAATTAAACTTCAGAATACGTTATTGAAGTATTGTATGATAGTTTTGAGATATTGTGTAAATATTCCATATTGTCATGCATACTGATAATAATTCATTATTATTATTTTCTACATCTACAATATTTTGCAATGCTGAATTTTAAATGTATATATATTTTTTCTTGTCCTAATTTTATATATTTTTCAAACGAGAGTATGAGATTATTCATATGCGAGTTATTACACAAACGACATTTTAACTATAGAAAATAGATAAAAATATCTATAAATACATAACAGTTTCAACAATTATCGCGATACAACATGCGCACAACTCCGATAAATAACTATAAGAAAACAGTCAAAAAGAAATATGATATCTGGTCCGACAGGCTGACGTCGTGATCCGAATTAATTTTCGAGCGATCCTGTTTCACGAAGGAACGCGAACGGGCGCGTTGCCACGGCATATGTGCCGTCATCGTTTCGTCGTAACGTGATGCCCACGAAAATCTCTCAGATAAATTGTTCATGCGTTCTCTATTCTCGCGTGGCTCGTCGGGCATGACATTACAACGTTATTTCGTGGCTGATCGCGTGTTCAAATCGCATCCCCCTTCGTTTCCCCTCTCTCCCTCCCATGGGATATTGGTAGGGAGGGGAGTCGTTTCGTGGTCGCTTTACGAGGTCGTAAGTTTTGGTAAAGCGCGAACAAACCTGCAAATCGTTCGATGGAATAACCGCCTGCGCCTCCTTCGTCACGACTTGATAACGCTTAGTCTGCTCGCCGGCGCGCTCTCCGGCCGCTTCCGAGGTCCCGGCAACGCATTTGCAGGCCAATCCGCAAAGTTCCTCGTAGACCTCCGCAATCTCGCCGAGCAACCCCGGCAGACAATGGAACTGATAGCGCTCGGTAATAGCATTGGTGGCGCGTAGCTGCAAGATGTAAGCGTTGTGCGACTCCAAGTAAGCGCGTTTCAATTCCTGCTCGGTGCTGCCGTCGTTGGTTAGTAGCGCGGCATAGGCGCGCTTGTAATCCAATCTGGCGCGCTGCAACTTCTCCTCCGTCTTGCTAACCACTTGCTCGTATGCATCGCGATGGGCGAATACCTGAGAGCAGCGCGTATACAGGGATCAATTTGCGGATGGTGGAAGGGGAAGCGCGCGAGAACGCACGCGGGCGCGCGAATTGAAACGCCCCACCTCTGTTCGCGATATTGGAATCGAATAATCGAACGCAGCGGCGGTTCCCGCTCTTCGCCGGTTGCTCTCGGTAACTGCGGTAAACTTGTCCCCCGCGGATTGCGACGGGTCTTATCGCTCGCGAGCGGAGCGCCTTAGAATTGTGGGGAATGACGATTGCAATATCGTAATATGGTAATGACGTTTAATGCGGGTATTCCATGTACGTGTACAAGGGAATGGGTGATTCGGAATAGATCAATGAGGATGAATGAATATCTGTTTCTGGTGAGAAGGTCACAAACATGTAAAGCCACGTTATACTGAATGGTTAGGGACTAATGCTCTATTAGAAATCGAGGGTGTCTTATCACGGGATATTAAATTTCTGTCTATGTACGGGGTGTTCCAGATCAACAGGGACAAACTTCGCGAAAACGTAGAACGGATTGAGAACCAAAAATTCTCTATCATTTTGCAGCATGCAACATTTTGTTATTAAAAATCCAAATTATTGAAAATGGCCATGTATAGAAGCTTCTTTAATTAATAACTCAAAAATTTGCGTGTTATTGGCAAAATGGTAAAGGACTTTTTTGTTCAGTCACCTAATCTGCAAGTATGATAGTTGTGTAATCTAACGACAAATTCAAAGTTCGAGTTTCTATACAAAGTTTAATATACTGATATCTGTCACTAAGCAAAACAGCTGTCATATACTTAGATTATTCTGAACAAAAAATCCTTTACCATTTTGCAAATAATATGCAAATTTTTTAGTTATTAATTAAAAAAATCTTCTATACGTGGTCATTTTCGATAATTAATAACCTGAAATTTTACGTATTGTTTGTAAAATGGTAGAGGACTTTTGTTCACTCCAATGTGTTCTAGTCCTCACGATACTTTTCATTTTGATCTGGGATACTCTGTATAAGTGTCGCTATTAGTGTCGCCAATAATGTAACGCGCACTTCTCCTATTGGCTGGATAATGGCTAGATGAATAAGTTAGTTGAACAAGATCACACTTAAGAGATGAAACATTATAAATAGTTGCCAGGCCAAAATATAACTCTTACTTGTGCGTAATAATAAGTTTTCAATTGTTATGTTAAATAAAATGTTAAAAATTTGATTACCGAAAATGCTAAAGCCAAAACAAAACGAATAACATTTTATGAGAATTGTCCCAACAAATCGTACTTCTGTATATAGATTATTTCAATAAAATACATCACATACCATTTGATTATAAACGCAAAATGTTCAAAAAAGTTATATTTTATTTATTTCATAATAAGCTGTAGTTTTTTTTAATTTCGTCTAATCTATTCTATTCTTTCGTGTATTTTATTCTACAAACTTGCTTGTTATTATATTCTTCAATTGTTATTCTTCAATTTTTTAGTTTGGAACTAAATTTATCTGTTTTATTCTGCATTTTATACTTTGAATATTCACTTTTATAATAAAAACTTTCTGACACACAAAAAAATTTATAAATTAAATAATTATAACGTTTATCAAGCTCCATATCGTGCACCGTTTTCGGCACACGTGGTGTGAATTGAAGGTCTCGTAAAACGATCCGGTACAGAACGTGTTGATCAGAATCTATGCTGTACATGAGAAAATCTGGGATAATTTCTATGCGGGAAACATAGAATTAATCTCTTTCGAGACATTCGGCTTTTCATTTTGTAAGCTATGAGACTCCGTGGTAAAAACGCCATCGCGGATTTATCGCCGGGCTTTAGATGCTCGTGCGGTTTGCCATTCCTCGATTGTGCGGCGGGCTTACCTTTCGTGATTGTAGCTTCCGATGAAAGCTCGCCTCTAACGTCGGCCTGGACAATTGTTGCTGCAGGACCGCGGCTAGATCGAGATGAGAGACCGCGTCCGCCTCGACCTGCCGTAGCAGGCTCTCCCAGACGCGTCGCATACCACCGGTATCGACTCGTGAGTCGCCCGATCGACTGCGAAATTCGTCGACCAAACGTCGCACGTTCGCCGAATGGCTCTCCATCGCGGCGCCCAACTCCTGGGCGAACTCGGAGACTGTTCATGGAACATAGGAGGAAGCATTAATCAGACGGCACGAGCGGTTACCGTGATTGACGGTGAGCGAAGTTTCGGTCGGGAAGTACAGCGAACTGTGGGAATTTAACTCTTTGGAAGCTTGTCTTCGTGGACAAGTTAGTAATTAACATGTCGCGAAGAACTCTGTAGCATGAAGGAACACGCGGAATGCTCTCGATCTCCTTTTACGCTTGATCTAATCCATATAAAATAATAGGTCTGTTCCTTCCTCGCTGAACTGGCTGCAATAACTTGTACTATTTCTCTTCTCCTCTTTTTTCACCAAGTTTTAATTGTGTATCCGTCTATTTTTAAGTTCTATAAGTGTATACTGGTTCAATGAAAAACAACAGACCCAATGACTCATTTAGTGAAAAATATCTCACCACTATGAAATGAGACTCGATTTAAAAAATCAGTTAAATAATTAAAGTAATTGTTAAGTTACGATACGGTTTTAGAATGCATTGAAGAGTGAAAGAAACATTCAAATATAAAATAGGATTACTGTTCCCTTTTAAAGGCTTGACATTCAACCTGCGAATCTCCGAAGATCCGAAGTTTCGGTGTTTATTATTCGAATTTCGAAAATATCGGAGCTTCGATATTTCGAAACATCGGAATTGAGATTTTTTAAGTATATAATATTTGTATGGTATATCCATTCATTTACAACATATCTCAATATTCTCTGAGTAAAATATAGACATGCAGGATTTAATCTACAGCATTCGTAAGATTGTACTCTTCGAAACTTTGAAACTTGATCCTTGAAAATGAACCTTTGAAACTTCGCCTTACCAAAATTTGAAAGTTCAAATTTCCTTCAAAACTTTGAAACTTCAAAACTATCGAAGATTAACAGCCTTAGAATAAAACTGCGATTGCATTCCTGTAAGCCATTAATCCAAAATATATATACGCACACTTTTCCTAACACTCGGACGCTGAATAATATAGAGGAGGCAATAGGATTATAGCTTTTGTGAAAGTTATAGCTCCCTTTAAGACTCCAGAGTAGTCATTATGACCTTATTTAATTACGTTAGAAGCGAAAAAAACGCATACCAAGAATAACTTGTAAAATTGGATGAACATTTTTTTTACTCAAACAATCAATAAATAGTCGAAAAATTAATTTGACATGGAATCTTCTTTTCTTCTTTTCTTGTGATTTTGTCAATGTTAATTTTACGACTACTTATTGACTGTTTGAGTAAAAGAAAAGCGTTCATCTAATTTTATAAGTTTGCTAAATCGATCATAAATGTCATTTTCTGGATACATCTTTTTATTTGAAAGTATTATGCAAAAAATTTTGATATGCGTTTTCTCGTTTCTGACGTTATTAAATAATTTACAGCGATTATTTCGGAGTCTTAATATTTCCACTATTAGATGGTGAATTCTAGTAATTACTTATGGAATCATAATAGCCTGCCGTTATGTAGTGATGCCAATATGCCGATATATAACAGCCGACATTTGTTATACACATTTTTACTTCCGAACATTTCGAAACGTTTCCAAGGCACACTTCAGCATTTAATTATACTTCTTCAGTCTTTTTAAACTTGAGCATATTATCACACGAATACATGTACACTTGAATGTTTTATTCGTTATTTAACATTTCATTCTGCTCTACACATTTTGAGTTATGCAAACAATAGCATGGCATTTTTGCTAATGTGGCCCTCCACTAAAATAGATTTAATATGATTTCTATTTCAAGATTTTTATATCGAAATAGTTATTCGAAAAGTCAATAATTCAATTAAGTTTAAAAGTCTATTCGTTTTATAGAAAATATCTGACATTTTGTAACTAAGAAGTAAGAAGTAAGTTAATATCTAGTAAAAATTCATTACCTTTACAAAAATATTTCGCTGTTTTTAGCCCGCAAAAACTGTTGGTTAAGCATAGTGTAAGCATGCACTTGACTGAGTGAATATGACCCCGTTTTTAGGAAAGGGGCACTTTTCCGTAATAACGAGTGGTTATAGTGGATTGCACACGGGTATCCGAATGGTATTAACGTTCTATTATATTTCTGAATGATAAACACGTATAGTGCTGTGTAAATTTGAGGTAAATATAAATTTTTTTATATATACAAAATACATGTTTTAACACTCACAAGCATTCATATTGCACACTTTGAAATAGCATGAGTAAATGCATGATTTTTTAACGTGCTTTTTTCCATAGTGAAACGAAATTGATTCAAAAGAGGAAAATATTCACACGCTATCACTCATCAGCTGAAAAATAAATATTGAAGACTTGTCGAAAGAATCTCTTCAAAAATATTCATGCATATTCGTGTGTACTCGTTATATTCCTTCGTTTAATAGATTGCACATGCCTGAGAGTGCAAGAAACGAGCATAAAAATGATAGAACAAGTTAAAAACGGACTAAAAACGGGCTATGTGAGGAGTAAAAATGGCGAGATATTTTTGTAAGGGTATATTTATCGTTGTTCCTTCTAAGAATTTACTTTGAATAAATATATAACAAAACATTGTTTTTTAAACAAAATAAATTAAAAAAAATTTTTTAGCAAGGGGCCATATTAGTACTATCTGTTCCTCTTCGATCTATCATGCAACATTGCCACATTTTTATAAATAACGTCCTAAGTAATAAATATTTCATATATCATATTTTTGAATCTAGAATCGATTGAACAATACTGTGATGAATGTAATCGTAAGTTTTCAATTAAAAATATCGATTATTAACAAAATTACTGTACAGATTATAAATGAGAGGCCATAATATCGCATTTCTCCTATAATTTCTAGCACTTTGCGGCCATCCGAAGACGCTTAACTAATGTGTTTGAACTTATTGAAATTTTTTTTTCTTATACAAATGTTGATATCTAAAATCATCATATGTTTATCATATGTTTCGATAAAATCAATGCCGTCAGATCGCGACGGCACCATGCCGTCGATGGACCGCAAAGTGCTAGGAGATAATAAATCCTAAAGAAATTAGAAACGCATCATACGTAATACATCCATCAGATCCGAGTGAATTTTTCTCGGATTCGAGGGAATAAATTTGAGGACAAACCGGCGGCAGCCGAGAGACGAGCGTATATTACTTAAATGGGAATTAGAGGCCAGACGTGAATGTCGTTACGTCGGCAGTCTGCCAACGGAACCTCGGCTTACGACGGCGACGGCAATATGCAAGTGCAATGGCGCGCGACCCTTTGCCATCCACGTCGATTCGATTTGCTCGTCAAAGGCGTCGCGAACCACCGGTCCCGATGTGAACGTCGATCGAGCCGATGGACATCGAACCGAAGAGAAAGGCTCTTCTGCCCTTCTGTTGTCGCGGCCGAAGTAAATTGCGTCCTTTTCTCGCTGGAAATCGGCCATGGTAAAACGTTATTTTCGACGTATCTAGAGTGGCCGGGAGGGTGAATTCAATATTCCCGTCTTACCCAATATCTCTCGGCGAGAGCGGGCAAATATCCTTCTCCTTTTGTGGCTAGTATGAATCGATGAGCGTGTAGAGGAGGATCGTCAAAGGTAGGGTCTCACAGGTCGTTATCGCTATCGTCGTGATAGCGGTAACCTTTGTAGGATCTTCGCTTCCTGGCGACGATATCTTCGGCTCGCTTCGATGAACCAGCTCTTTATCGGTGTCAGGGAGAATCACATCGCGAAAGTTGTTGCAGAAGACTCGTAATTTGTTGCGGAGCGGCGTTAGGCGGTCGGTGTGGTAAAGAGGAGGAAGGGATAACAGGGAGGCTTAGCTTGTGAGCCGATAAGAGACTTAAACTATGTTAAGCCTTCGACCGCATTATGGGTCAGATAGCCACGGTGAATCGTGTTTGAAGAGCTATAACGAAGAGAAGTGCGTGAATTCTCCCCATTCCCGATCGTTAGAGTCGCAATGTATAATTAAAGTAGAAGGGTTACACTTTATTCTGGAATTTTGTCAATCTCAATCTCAATCTCTTTCTTTTCACAGTTTTTTTACAGTTTTGGAATGTAGAAAATCGCACAGGGTCAATATATGATCTTGTTTGCGGTGCAAATGACTTTTCAGAAGTGTGTAGTCGAAGGATTAAACCTGAGAGGACTTTCTTGTCGAACTTTCTGCAACCTATTTTTTAGAATATCTCTTTGATACGATGTGAGACCATAGCACAGTGACGCGATTCGGGCATACAAATATCTTGTGGCGATTATTTCATCGTGTTAATTATTCAATTACATTAATATATTCATGTATGTTCATATAATTCGTATCATGCTGACCGTTGTCTAACCGCGTTATTAATTGCGGTTTTATCTCTCGTCGTGCCTTCGACTGGGCGAAAAATATCCACGCAAAATTATCCACAGCGAGAAACCACGGGCAGGAGCGCGTAGAGAATGTCGCGTGGTTACGTCAACGTATACCTTGGCGATGGGGCGACATTGTCGTCATTTGCGATATATCTTCGTCCGTACGTCGCGATCGCCTTGCCAAGGCGACACGAATCTGTCGCTATACACGCATTTTTTGCTGACACGTTAGGGATCGGAATGCGCCGAGGCTCGGGGGACTTATGCGTACGTACATTCCGACGCGACGAGTGTGCTTTCCCTTTTTATTTGACAGTGTGGTATTATAAGAGACACTCTATTTGCGGTCGGGAATACTGGCTACGAGATAAGTCCGGTAACCATTGGCAGAAACAAACGGAGAGAAAATTAAAATTATTTTAAAATGTCGTGCGCTAACCCAATCAGAAATTGTCACATTCAATGTTGCCGGAGTTGGTACATTTGTACTAGATGTGGTACTTTTTTTCCACATTTGGCATGTTGATATTGCAATGCATAAAATTGCTACTAATAGGCATATAAATTGTAAAATACTAATTAGGTGAACGCAAGATAATCTTTACTATGGTAAATCCAATTATGTATTGATAAAAGTTGAATAAGGAAGACTTTCGCAAGTTTA